GAAGAGAAGGGGACGACGAACAGCAGGTGCAGCAGCAGCCACACGAGGCGCCGCGGACCGATCGCCAACGGACCAGGGCCCCCCTTTGTGCCTGGATGGGGAACCACTCGGTTGCCCCTCGCGAGAGCAGCAGGAAGGGCAGGGACAGGAGGAGGAACGAAAGAGAGAGGAGGAGAAAAAGGAGGAATATGCAGAGGAAGGTGAGGAGGGGGGGCGGCTGGGGGAGGAGGGGGAGGAGGAGGAAAAGGAGGAGGAACATGAGGAGGAGGAGGAGGAGGGAGAGTTCGATGAATTGGTGGTGGCGGCAGTCCTGAAACACGGGGGCCGTCAATACCGCGCGGGGGCCCGATTCACCGAGCCTCCAGTATCTGTGCTCACCCCAACTTCTCCCATTTCCCCCCCGGCAGAATTCACGAAGCCCCTGGTTTCCCCATTCTCTGCTCTCTCACCCCATGTGCCTCACAAAATTGCAGGAAAAAACATGGCCCAATATCAGATCCTAGATTGTCTGGGCCTTCCAACACTCTGTCCAACACACCTATGAACGCATCTTTATGACATATCATCCACATCATGAATATGGCTCGCACGCTTTACCTGTTTCGTTGACTCTGGCTACGGGTGATTTCAGCATCGCCTCCATGGCTGTCTTCAGGAAAGAGAGGGCAGCGAAACTGGTTTTGCAAATTGTGTCGCATGCGTTGCCTGCAATGCCAGAACCTGGCGTCGCCTCAGGTGCCACAGAGCACAGCACCGTAAACGCGAAAATTGAGGCAGCGATGCGAACAATCTGTCCACACTTCCCACAGCCGTCGTCGCAGAGCATGCGTTTGCTCTGGTGGCATGGCCCAACTGGTCCCTCATGGGGTCCAGAAACAACCACCTCTTGCGGCACAATCGACAGGTCGCAACGGCAGGTCTTGCGGGTCAATCGTTAATGCTGCTCGCGCACCCAAAATACAACGTCATTTCTTCATTGCCGCGCGCATCGTTTCGCGCGCAAGTCTGGCAGGCATGAGCGGTGCAACGTTCTCCACGTAGGTCTCGATCCATCGCTCGAGTCGAGATGGGGCTGGCCACCTCGAGATCGGTCGTCGGCCTCCTAGTCCGCATTGGCACGGTGGCCCACGCCATGGCGCAGTCAGGGCAGCAGAAAATTCGCGCGCGCGAGCAGCCAAGTGTGGAGGGCAGGCGCGGCTGGCAATCACCGATAGCTTGATTCCCGAGTCGATCGGCCACCCGATTGAATGAGCAACGGACATGACGCATGCGAGCTCGACCGAGCTGAACGGTGCATAACAGGGCCGCAGAACGATAATACCACGCACGAGAAAAATCGCATCGTGCCATTCGGCATCTTTGAGCGAGGCCTCAGGGATGAGCCCCTTCGAGATGGAGAATAGCTCAGCCACTGACAGATCATGAAATGCAGAATTTACTGCAGCATTCACTTCCCCCCTCCTCGAACCATCGGATTGCCCAAACCAGGCCCTCCAACAAGCCCCCGATCCTATATCCTCGGCGCCCCCGGATCCTCACTTCGCGCCCACCCATGGCCAGAGACTGGGGCATCCTCCAGCCGCCATCTTCCGTGCGTCGCGGCTTGCGGGGCACTGGCTTCATGGCGCCATCGGGGAGATGGTCCGCAGCGAAGGCGTCGTCGAGCTGGGAGGGAGACGTGAATCCAGATAGGTTAAGGCCATGAGCTTCGGCCTAGTTTTAGGAAGCAAGCTCGCGTGGAACGCCTGACCTATCTGGGCGACGATTGACGGTGCGACGATGGGCTCGTGGTCTTGTCCCTGGGCCGCGCGGCGCGATGCAGCCTGTAGCGGCAGCGCGTTTTCCACCCCCGCCGCCGCCGCGAGGATTCTCATGGATCGCCTCGGGGCGCGCGTGCTGCCGCAGGCAGCGGAGACGCCGGCGTTCCCCCCCCGCGCCTGCCCCGCCGCCTGGATCCATGGCGCCTGGGTTGAAGGCCCGTCGCCTATCGCATTCGAGCTGGCGCAATGGGCGCTGATCAACCTCGATGGCATCTCGCGCGCTAAGACATGTGCCAGTCGGTCTCGTCGCTTCGCCGATGGCAGATGAGATTTCGCCCCGGCGCACCTCGTTGCTCCCTGGGCTGGGGGTCGCTGCATCGCATTCAGGAAGATGTACTTCCCAACGAGAGACTCTCTTTGCCGCCCGTGCTCTGCCAGGGTAGCAATCCAAAGTGCGCCAGGGCATTCTTTGATCGGTAGCCGCGCGCGCTGCAACCGCAACGCGCGCGATAAATGCGGATTGCGAAAAGCCTGGAAATCATCGAACCGCCGAAAGAGCCGCCCGCGCTGGGAGGACCTCAGCACCGAGAGCATAACGCGCAGGGCCATTGGCCTCAGCACAGATTGCGGGTGGAAAGCATCACCTCAGCCTGTGGGCTTGCATCGGGAGCCATTCGCCACGTTCGGCGCGCGCTCCCCTGGAATGTACCTTAGTGTGCCATCCTCAACGCCGGACGCATTGAATTGCGTTGCAGCTGCATCCGCCGTGCTCCCCAGCCCCTGCCCATCTGCGCGCAGCTTTGCGTTGCATCGAACGAAGCACCAAGTATAACGATATCATTCGGCATCTGTGAGCCCCGGACTTGTTTGCAGACATCCGCCGTTTTCAGTATCAAAAGATAATCTGAACTGGCTTGCGAAAGGTAACAGGGAACGGCGAATAATGTCTCGTCGCGCGCTGCCGCACAAGCGCACGCGACCCAGCGGGCAAAATGAAACTTCATGGCGCCGGATACTCTGCGCGTGTCAACGGTGCATGACCACTGCACAGCCCCGTAGATGAACATTCTAAGACGCGGCCGCCACAAAGCGACCAGCATGGTGACTACGAGCAGGAACTTTGACTCCAAAGACGCCCTGCATCAGAAGATGTTCCATGTTAACTCCGTCGCTCACGCAATCTCGAAGCGCGTCAAATTCTCGTGGCTGACCGCGCAACAACTGAGAACTGCCAGGCTCGCCGTAGGAATGTGTTTCTTTCCCCACTCACAAGTCGTTGGATCAGGCTCGAGTTGCTTGAAATCGTTTCGCGACTTTGTCAGAGGGCAGAAAGTCCAACCCCAGAATCACCGCCGCGACAAGCGAAGCCGTTTAGTAAAGGCATCCAGGGAAGCGGTCGAATAGGGCAGGGCTAGTGTGTAAACGCCCAGGGCCGTTCAGCAAGCGCCAATTGTCGGGGTCTGGGTGGTCTTCCCCCTGATTTCGCTACGATATCAGCGAAGTTCAGGTCGTCTGTGTTCTGAAGGTTGCACCGCTGCAGCTCACCATTGAAGATATCTTTGATCCGAACTGTAACTCCCAAGGCGTTAAGGCTTGCCACAACGGACCGATGCTCAACAGGCCCAGGGAATCGCACTTCACGCTGATGAGAAACACGATCATGAACTTTCGATTGAATTGCTCCGCTTGCGCTAACCAACTTCACCAATATAGAAGTTGCAGCTCCCTGCTCCATCGGCTGGTGCTTCCTGACGCACAATTTCAAGTTTGTGGCGGGGGCGGGACATGGGGTACAGCAGACATAAACCGTGCACGCCCCCGGCGAGCCCCTACAAATGCATCCCGCTCAACTTTCTCACGATGTTTAGTTCGAAGAGCCCACACCGCACGATCATCACGCACAATTGGAGCAGCATGGTTGCCAGGGTTTACACCAAAAAGGCTTGCCACGGCACCATATCCTACCAGTGCTTCGAACGCATCCCAACACGATGCCATATCATCCTTCTCCGAAACATCGGGGAAGCCTCAGATCAGGATCTTCAAGGCATCATCACCTTGGGGTCCAAACGGTGCTTTCGCAGTTACAGCCGTTTGGCATTCGAGATTGGTCTCGGTCCCGCTGCGGCATCCCGAGTGGGCCGAATGACCTCTGCAGAAGTATCAGCCCTTGTGGAGGCCGCCATAGCCTGGTCAGCCTCGCCGTCCACCTTTTCAGGTCGTCTTTGATTCATGCCATCTCCCTCTTGATGTTTCCATCCGTACCCTTCATGAAGCTCTAGAGCGCAGCATTGGAAGACTCTCCAACTTCAGCAGCAACAGCAGCACCAGGCTCACCTTCACGAAGGTCACCATCTGTCCTTATTAAGTCATCCATATAGCCCTCCGAGGCTCTCGAGCGAGACCTGCGAATATCCTCGGCAGCGCGTATGCCTGCCATTGCTCGAATGAAGCGGTCTGCCCAGGGAAGGCAAGGCAGCTAGCGCGCCAGCATGTTGTGCCTCAAGTTGGTTTCGATGAGGACGGGGAAGTGAGGAGGAGGAGGAGGAGGAGGAGGAGGAGGACCCATCCTCATACGCCAACTTCATAATGACGAGGCAGTGCCGCTTGCGTAGTTTCTTGCTGCCCCGAGCCCGGGAGTGGCGGCGCAGCGCGCGGCAGCGCGGCCGGATACAGCTCCTTCTCCCGCTCGCCCTCCTCCGTGACCTGGGCGGCGATGGCCCGAAGCCCGAGGAAGTGGGGGAAAGCGGTGGACTCCTACGAAGAAGTCGGGGCGAGGATAACATCAAGTGAAGATGAATCGAGAATCTCTGAGATCCGGCGGCACTGAAGGATGTCTCGGGCGCCGCAGCCTTCGCACAGCGTTCCGAGACGCTCCGAGAGCGTTCGTCAACGCTCTGAAACAGATTTATTCTCGCCCTCCCCCCGTCCGACCCGCTCCCTCTCCTGACACCCTCGAGTCGTGAAAGAAAGGCGACGAGAAATTCTTATACGTTCTGGGCCTCATGAGGCCCTCGCAGAGCCTGTGGACCGTCAACAAACGACTCGGGATGAAGAGCTGGTCCCCAGGAAGCGGTCCCAACGCCGGGAGAAAATCAAGACGACGGGGGTCTGGTTCCTCCTCCTCCCATGCTGGGGGGAAGGGAGGGGGAAGGTGGGGGGAGATGGGGGAAGGTCGGGGGAGGGGGAGGGCGAGGGGCGGGGGGGGGGGAGGGAGAGGGGGGAAGTGCAAGCGGGCTTCTCTCGCGCCATATCTGACTCCCATGCCTTCCCATTGGGCTGTGTTTCCCTATTCGCCGACGCGTGTCATAGTGGACCTAGAACTCCAAAGGGGCCCTCATCGTGTTGTGCACAATGGAAGAACGGGAGCTGCGTACATTGGAGGAGGAGGAAGAGGAGCTGGCGGATGAGCAGGTGGATCAGCAGGATGAGAAGGAGAAGGAAGGATCAGGAGGAGGGAGGACGAGGAAGAGCACCAGCAGCAGGAGCTGGAATGAAATGAGGGGAGCGACAGCGAAGGAAAAGAAACGGCTTCCAGGAGAGTGGCCCGAGCTGGGGCGAGAGCGCCAGTATGAACGACGGGAGCAAAGCGCGGATCCGAAAATGACGCCCGCACTGAAGCAGGAACACCATTGTGACACACCGAAACAATCGGATCGTGACAGCCATACGGCAAAAACAAGTTGTCCAATCCTGTGCGCAACCACAAAACCAATGCGTGGAGAGGGCGGGACATCTTTCGGACGGAGTCAGGGAAGAGAGGAGAGTCGTATTCAGATTGAGGAACTGTGGAAAGAAAGTGGAGGAGGGAGAGGACGGATGGAGGGAACGAGCGGCGCGGGGGGCGCGCGAGGGAGGGCAGCAGAAAAACATCGCACTGGGTGCAAGGCCCGGCCCCGGGAGGGGCGGGGGACCCGGGGAGCGCAGGAGAAGCCCGCACTGGGCGGGCGAGCCGCACCCTCGATCCTCTGGTGCGCCGCGCTGGTGCGGCCTGCGGTGGGCCGGCCTGTCGGGGACCTGCTGACCTGGGTCAGTCCAGGCCCGGGTCGGTCCGGCCTCGCAGGCTCCTGCGAGATGCTGCAGGGTCCGTGCAGCCCTGGCTCAGGATGCTGCAGGATCCGGCGCTCTGACGGACCCCCGCTTGCGTTGACCCCCGTCCCCTGAGCCCCGGGCGGGCTCCGCCCCCGGCCTCCTGGCGGGGGGGGGACGAGGAGGTTCCCGCTCCCCCCTTCACTCTCCTCCAACTCCTCCCTGCCACGTGGTTCACCCCCTTCCCCTCCTGTCTCGTCCTCACTTCCCCCTGCTTCATTCCTCCCCCTCCCTCTCTCTCCTCCCACCTGTCCCCCCTCGCTCCCAGCTGTCTCCCTCCCATCTGTCTAAGTTTGTTCCCCGTTGGTCCCATTTGCTCCCCCATTTGTCCCTTCCCATTTGCTCGGCCTCCTTCTTGTCGCTTCCCTCCTGCACCCTCTTCCTTCCTGCTCCCCCTCCCGCTCCCCACTCACTCTTCTTAACTTCTCTCCCTCCTCCTTCTCATCCCGCTCTCATTCCCCCTGTTCTTCCTCCTCCTTATCGCCCCTTTCCCAGTGGCTCTCGCTTCACTCTCCCAATCTCTGACCGAAAGAGCATCCCCCTCCTCCTCTTCCATCATCGTCCTCCTCAGCAGCATCACCCTTCTCCTCCTGTACCCTGCTAGGAGGAGCCATGGGATGAGGGGACGTGGAGGAGGAATAGGATACTTCAGACGCTGCGAGGGCTTGAGCTGGGGCCGCGCAAAACAGGAAGCATCAATGATGATGCCCCCACCCGTCCCAAGTCCCTTTCTCAGACGTCCCCGAATGCATTCCCTTTCACCACACCGCATACCATCTCGCCACAAGAAGGGCCACCGTGAAAGACGCGCACCACGTGGGCGTGCCATTCAGGCGAGCGCTCCTCTTTGCAAACGGCATGCACGGCATCACGCGAGATGCAAGGAATGCGAGCAGCCAGAATCATGACAATCAACGGTGTGTTCAGCAAGAGCTCCGTCTGGAACAGACGGAAATGCTTCAGGCTACTGAATATGAGAGGTACAAAGCAAGACCCCACAGTTGCAGCAAACAAGCCACCCTCCATCCGAACACGTCTTCCATACCGACCCCACTCTCCATCCGTGCAATTGCTGCAGATGTTGATGCGAGTGTGCGCGGTGCAGAACCGAGAACCCCACTCTGAGCTTGAACCGCGCCCCATCCTTGCAACTGCTGCCACGTATCAAGACGCATACTCTGAACTTCTGATGAATCAACTGGGGGGTGACAAACGTGAAAACGCGGCGCGGCCAAATTCTCCCGGCACCACCCCCACGCCGGGATCGAACCCCAGACCCCCCCTGGCACCCCCGCGGACCCGCCGCGGCCAACCCCCCCGGGCACGCCAAGGGGGGGGCGATAATTGAGCGATCCAGAGTATGCGCGGCGCTAACGCGGCAGCCCCATGTCGACGACGAGCTCCGAGCCCTCTCCCTCCCAGCGGCGAGGAAGACTCCAGCGAAACGCCCCCGGGCCGCCCTGCCGACGCCCGGGGGGGCGGGCGCAGGCTCGGGCGACGTGTGCAGGGAACACACGGAAGAGGCCCAGGGGCACACAGAGAAATAGGCACGGATGGCAGGATGCCGCACATCTTCCCACATGTGCTGGGTTCTTGTCTTCCCCCCCTCCTTCCTACAGAATGCCGTTCGGCCCAAATCACGGTCAGGAGCTCCCCCCATCTTTCCCATATCTTCCCATGTGCTCCGGGTTATTGTCTTCCCCCCTCTTCCCATAATTATGTTCCCAAATATTATCTGGGGAATCGGCGATTCCTTCTGTCTCTGTGTGTTTTGTTCCCCCTCCCGATAAACGCAAGGTGGGTAGTTAAGGGCTGGGACGGTGGCCTGCCTCCTCCGAAGAGGCGCAGGTCCAGGAAGAAAAAAGGCAGGGCACGAGAGAATCGGCGGTGGACAAACCTCCCTTTCGTAAACCTCCCCTTAAGTGGAAACGGCCTAGGACAGAAGCTGACGGACCTGGACCCGCAAAAATGACGGCCGCGACGCCCCCTCGCGAATCGGAAACGGCCAGTTCCTTAATCGACGTGTCGGGGTAGGAGGTCTGACAACCTCCGAGAGAACAGGGGGCGACCGCGCTCGGCGCGAGTCGCACTCCTCAGAGTGCACAGGGGGCGTCGGCGCGCCAGGAATGCCCGGACAAAATCGTGGGACAGCGCTCGCCCCAGAGCATTCCTGCTACATACAAAAGCTGCTGTCCCGCTGAATGGGACAGATGGTTGAGCAGAAGGTGCGGAGGAGGAGGCTGAACAGGGACCTTCTTCTGCATGGCCTGCAGCATGGAGACCACTTTGCGAACCGGGTTGGCCTCGCGCTGGCTGGCGGGTCGGGGCGTGGGTGCCCCGCCCCCCCCCAGTGAGCAGCTGCTCTCCCCTCCCCCCACGTCCTAATTCTAAATTGAAGCAAGAACGAGGATAATATCGTGTGCGGATGAATCGAGAATCTCTGAGATCCGGCGGCTCTGGACGATGTCTCGGGCGCCGCGGCCTTCTCAAAGCGTTCCTGAATGCTCAGAGAGCGTTCCAGAACGCTCTGGAACGGATTTACCTCGTGCTAGCCCCGTCCGAAATCCCCCCTCCAAGACAGGATCAGTCATCATCGAATCAGAAAAGCGGATGGGATCGGAACGAGCGTCGAATCGGGCTGCACCGGCCCAAGATCGAACTCGAATCGGGCAGGTCGCGCCGGGATGCACAACTGCGCTGAACAGACATGGGGCCACATCAAATCGTCGCGGAATTGCAATTGAACCAGATTGGGCCAACCGCACCCGATATCGAAATTCAAATTGGACACCCGATCGGATCGAAGTGGACACTGCCACGGAGCAACTCCTCTCGTGTCCCTCTCCTCCCCTGGCACCAACGCCCGCGCGCGCGCGCCCGCCCAGGCTCCCGCGCGCGCTCGGGAGTGGGGGCTCGAACGGGAAGGCAGGGGGAAGCTTGACAGCAGCCAGAGCTCAGACTCCTCCTACCCAGAACTCCCCCACGATGGAGCAGAACGCCGGGAAGAAGGATTAGCAACGCAGATCGAAGCACCAGCCCCGTATTGGCGTGCGGCGAACACACCCACGATTATTAGCAATGATATCCATGAGCAAAAACTAAGAGAAAACAACCGATGGAACCACCGCGCAATATACTGGTCCAACGAAGAGTTGCCACCGCGAGCCCATGACCAGGAAGTGCGATGCAAGCCGCGCGTGTACAACTCTGCCACGAAGAAGAGTTTGCATCGACACGGTGCCAATGATTACCCGGCCAAGATCGTCGGCGCTCTAGGCGAACGAACTTGTTGAACAACGAAGAAGATCAGAGCGCATACCTTTATCTGCCCGCACGTCCTAGCACAAGATGCGCGGCGTACTTGACCGTATTTTGCTACGTTGCACGACAACGTAATATGGGTGGACCGTCAGCAAGTTGTCACCATTACTGTGGCAGCGCGTTTAGCGGAGCGCATCTGGGGCCCGTTTGGCGTGCTTTCTCTATCAGCTCCCTCCCTATTCCTTCGTCGTCTTCATTCTCTTCCCCTGCTCTTCTCCTTTTGCCCCGGCGTTGCCTTGTCGCGAATAATGCAACGACGAAGATGCTAAAAGTGCATCCTTCTGCCTGTCCGCGCGTGCGGGATGCACGGCTTCCTTGCCTTGAACTGGGCGGTTAGCGGGGCGGGGGTCCCGCGTGGACGGTACGATGCTTCGGCGCATGTTCGGGCAGAGTGTCAGTGCAGCAGCAGGCAGCACTCCTCGCCCTCGCTCTCTGACCACCAAATCGCGAATCACACCGAAACGCGGGTGCTGCGGGAAACGGGCCCTGGACCCCAGGGCCTCTCGGGGGCGCGCAAACATGGATTAGCGATCGATGGACTTTGCGCGCCGTCGCCAGATCCATTGATCGGGGGGGGGGCTCTCCACGGAATGCAGCCGGTGCTGCCTCGCTCGGCGGCGGACATCTGCGATTCCCCACGGAAACGGGACCCGCCGCTAATCCACGCCCCCCTTGATCCACGTTTGCGACGGCCTGGGCCCCTCTCCGAGACCAGTTTTCTATGAGGAGCCGCACTCGGACGGCCCCAGGGCCCAGGGAGGGCCCAAGGGCCCTAACAAAATTGCGATGAGCGTCGGGCCCCGCTTCCCTCGAGACTCTCTGCCAAACACCACCCGGCACGATTCGACCCATCCGAGGCCCCTGAACTCCCGACCCCTTCCCCTGGAGTAGTTCTGCGCCCCGGATATATTTTCTTGATGGAGGCCCCATTCGAGGACAAGCGCTGGGATTCAACCACAATAGGTCACCGGAGACCTGGACAACACACGTACTTTTAGGTCGGTCTGCCTCCCTACATGGGGGTCTTGGGCGACAACTAAAAGGATACTCAAAAAACACCCCCACAATGCTCGACAATAATCCAAACATCGTCCCCAAACTATTTTTTGTATGTTTGAATTTCCCCCTGTAGAGGGACAGGCCCGACTTAACCGTACTTTGAACGAGCGATGGATATGGGAACAAACCAAACAACAACAATACATAAAAATAATTGCTCGTCCGCGCGGATCCCGTGGATCGGCGCTGGAAACGCCGCCGGAGGCGCCGCCAGAGGGCGTCCAGCGCGATCCTGTGCATCCTCGCGCCGCTCCAAAAGCGCATGCATATGCTAGTGGCTCTTCTTCGATTCATGGAGAGTTAATGGTAAGTCGGGCCTGTCAGGAAGTCAACAAAAATAGTCGGGGGACGATTTGTTGGACTATTCTTGATCATTTGGGAATATTTGTGTGTATATGTTTTATGTTTTGTCCCCAGCAGGGGAACATGCCCGACTTAAAGTCAATGAGACGAGAAGGGTGCCAAGACGGTGTTGGCTCAAGGTTCGGCCCAGGATCCAAGGTTCGGCCCAGGATCCCAGGACAGTCTGGCGACCCCCGCTCCTGCAGCTCGGGCGGACACCAGGAGACGTCTGGGATATCCTGGGAAAATCGGGGAACGCGCCATCATCATTGAGTCGGGCCTGTCCCTCTACAGGAGGAATATTCAAAAATAGACCGACAATAATATGAGGACGACTTGTTGAGTAGTTGTTTTGATATTTGGGGGTACTATTTGGTATTTTTTTATTTGTCGTTCAAAGTCCCCCTGTAGGAGGACAGGCCCGACTTAACATCATCATGACCTCCTGCTCCCGCCCTGGCCTTCGCACGCAACCAGGGGCAGGGGGGCGGGAGGATGCCTCTCAGAAGGAGGCTGCCTCTTGGAAGGCGACGGCCCTACATGTTTGAGTCGGGCCTGTCCTCCTACCGGGGGATTTTGGATGAAAGATAACAAATAAGCAAACAATACCCCCACATACCAAAAAACAACTCAACACATCGTCCCCATACGATGTTGTTTTGATAAGTTTGAAGATTCCTCATGTAGAGGAACAGGCCCGACTTAACCCTACATCTACAGACAAGGCCTGCGCCTTCGAAGAGGCAGGGTGTTTCTAAAGATCCCTCCATGGGAAAACCAAGACGTACGTACCCCTACCGATACTCCCATGACCTCTCCCGGGGTGCGTTCTGACCAGAATCCCACCAGCCCTCTGGGCATAGATGGTTTAGGGAATTTCCTCTTCCACCCCTCCTTCTTCCCCTTCGGGGAAGGGTTTACCCCTCCCCCTCCCCCCTCCCCTGGACCTGGACAGGGGGGTTCGCGAGTCGTCGGAGCGTCCAAAACGGCCTCGGCGAGGAAGCCGCAATAATGTGTTTTACTACGGTGCTGGCCCCATTTTTGGCATCCTGAGGGGGGGGGCCTAATTCATGCCGCCCTCTTGTTTGATCGATCTCCTCCAAGACGGCCCCGAGAAGCGCCCAGGAGACCCCAAGAGGTCCCAAGATGGCCCCAAGATGGCCCCAAGAGGCCCCCAAGAGACCCCCAGGAGGCCCCCAAGAGGATCCCAAGCGGCCTAAAAGGGCCCCCGAGGCACCCAAAATGCCGAAGAGCCCCCCACGACCGCCAAGAGATCCCCACGACGTCCCAAGACGCCCAAGAGATACCCCAAAAGGCTCCGAGAAGCATCCAGTAGACCTCTGGCCCTTTTGTTTGCTCTCCTCTTCCTCTTCCTCCTCCCATCCGTTCTCACCTTCCTCCCCCTCCGCCTCTCTCCTCCTCCTCCTCCTCCTCCTCCTCCTCCTCCTCCTCCTCCTCCCCTCTCATCCTCTTCATCCTCCTTCTTCCCGCTCCCTCATCCATCCATCCAATCATCTCCTTCGCCCCCTGTTTCCTTCACACGGTTCGGCCGTCCCCCCCTTTGCTCCCACACTTCCCTGATCACCTCTCAACTCGCCTGGACATCGTTTCTGGATGGGCTGGTGGGGATACGTTTTGGTCAACAGGCTCGCGAGGCGGGTCGAAAGCCGTCCGAACACTAGTCGGGCCGCGACTAGGCAGCAGGAGAAGAAGCGAAGCGAGCGGGCAGCCACTCAGAAGGAGGGCCAGAACAGATACTCCCAAACCCGGTGGCGAGGAAATTTTGTTGGCGACCAGCAAGTAAACGCAGCCAAAATGGCGCGGCGGCGCGACCATGAACACGCAGAGGTCGATCGCTCGGTGTAACTCAGACAGACAACACCGTCAGAGACGAACCGGACCGACGGGCACACCCAGACGACATCCGTGCCGTAGGCGACACAAATCGTGCCGGCGCAAGAGTGAAGAGGGGCAACCTCATCACCGACAAGACTGCAAACGGCAGTAAAACCAGTGGCACTCATCGAAAGCGAAGTCCATGCAGGAGAACGTCGGCCAACGAGCGTACAGAGCCACGCTTGCCGAACCCGAGGTCCAAATACCGTAAGGTAGGCAGTGGAGCGAGAGGCCAACTGGAACCTTCCGGCCATCAGTAGGGCCCGACACCAGCCAGGAGCAGGCCAGGGGGCACCTGAACTCAGCGAATGCGGCGCAGCATTCCCTGTGTGAATCCTTGCATGAATTCCAGCCCACCTGGACGCCATCAGGAAGAAGCCTTGGGCAGCAAACCCCAACCGCCAGGGAAAAACACTGTGAAACAGGAGGGAGAGCACCCCGGTGCAACAGCTGCCGCTGCGGCACAAGGAAGCAGGAGGAGAGGAGGGGAAGTGCTCGCCAGGCACGGTAGGCACCCCGGTGTGGCAGCTGTCCGCTGCACCATTAGGATGCAGGAGGGGATGGAAGTGCCGCTGGTGGGGATACGAGAAGCGTCTATCCTCCGCCTCCTCTTCCTCCTCCTCCTCCTCCTCCATCTCCTCCTCCTCTTCCTCCTCTACCCTTTTGCTTGCTCTCCTCCTCCTCCTCCTCCTCCTCCTCCTTCCTCCTCATATCCCTTCTCATCCTTCCTTCTCCTCCCCCTCCGTCTCCTCTTCCTCCTCTTCCTCCTCCTCCACCTCCTCCTCCTCCTCCTCATCCTCTTCATCCTCCTGCTCCCCACTCCCTCATCCATCCATCCAATATTCTCCTTCGCCCCCTCTCTCCTTCACACGGTTCGGCCGTCCCCTTCTTTGCTTCTGCACTTCCCTGATCACCTCTCAACTCGTCTGGACATCGTTCTGGATGGGCTGGTGGGGATACTTTTTTTGGTCGCGGCCGCGCAGCAGAGGGCAGGCGGCGAAAGGGGGTCCGGGGCACGGGCCTACCTAATTAGCTACTAGGCGCAACGCGGCTGGTGGGGATACGCGAAGCGTCTAGAATTTCGGAGCGGATCCAACGGTGGCGACGAGGGCCTCCCAGGAGGCCCAAGGAGAGGAAAAACGAGGCCTGCTGGGGAGCGGTGTGGGTACCATTTCCTCCTCTGCCTCCCCCCTACCCCATACCCCCTTGAAAAAGAAAAACAAGAAGAAGAAGAAAACGCCATAAACATAAACTTTTGGCACTCCGCGCGGATTTCTTGCATCTGCGCTGGACCCACCTCCCTGACGCGCGGAGCGCGCTGGGGGCGGCGCCAGAGGCGCCGCCCGGGGGGGGGCAGAACGCGGAGCCGAGAAATCTGCGCGGAGCGCCACAAGTTCATGTATTATGTAGCGCTTCTTCTCCTCCGATGCTCCTTCTCTGCGCGTGGCCGACCTTCGAAGGTGGCCGACCTTCGACGGTGGACAAACCTCCCCTTAACGAAAACGGCCTGGGACCAAAACCGACGGATCTGGACCCGCAAAAATCGCGAACCGAAAACGGCCAATTCCTCAACCGACGTGTCGGGGTAGGAGGTCTGTCAACCTCCGAGACCTCCTCTGCACGACGGGCGGCCCGCCCTGGCCTGGCTGGCCTCGGCGGCGCGGGCGAGCCGCGCGGCCTGCCGGGGGGCACCGCGGCCGCCGCCCCGCCCAGGCTCGCACCCCCCACCGCAGAGGTGGGCGGCTGCTGGGCGCACGCCCCGCCCCGCGCCGACGGATGGCAAGATCGGTCATTATCGCATCGGGAAGTCTGCTCCTCCTCCTCCTCTCTCCTCCTCCTCCTCTCCTCCTCCTCCTCCTCCTCCTCCTCCTCCTCCTCTCCTCCTCCTCCCTCCTCCTCCTCCTCTCCTCCTCCTCTCCTCCTCTCCTCCTCCTCCTCTCCTCCTCCCCCCCTCCCCCTCCTCCTCCTCCTCCTCCACCTCCTCCTCCTCCCCTTCCTCCTGCTGACCCCCGTCTCCTGAGCCCCGAGGGGCCCTCTCGAGGGCATCTCCGGGGCCTTTGGAGAGGGCTCCTGCCTTCCGAGGCGCCCCCCTGCCTCCGCAAGAGGCCCCCCACGCGCCACCCCCTCCTGCGCGCCGCCAGGAGGGTTCGTCGGGCCGCATCATGGAGGAGGAGGAGGAGGAGGAGGAGGAGGAGGAGGAGGAGGAGGAGGAGGAGGAGGAGGAGGAGGAGGAGGAGGAGGAGGAGGAGGAGGAGAGGGAGGAACAGGGGAGGAGGAGGACGGGGAGGAGGTGGAGGAGGAGGAGGAGGAGGAGGAGAAGAAGGAAGAGGAGGAGGAGGCGGCGGGAGGAGGAGGAGGCGGAGGAGGAAGATGAGGAGGAGGGGGAGACGGAAAAGGAAGGGGAAGGAGGAGGAGGAGGAGGAGGAGGAGGAGGAGGAGGGGAAGGGGCGCGAGAGCAGCTCTTCCAGACGCGAAAGTCGATAGAACAAGTTCAGAAGCTCGACTTTCTTCTCCAGTCTGCCCATCCTCCTCCATCCCACCATTCCTCAATGCCTCCCTCATCGAAGTCCGATCATGATCCGTTCAAAGCCGGTACCCAGACCCCTCTGTGGTCCACAGCGGCTCGCTCTTCGAGAGGCAGCTTTTTGATCGTCCTGAAGCCCGGACGATGGTCCCCAGAGGCCGAAATCTAAGAAAAACCGTCAGCGCATTTTCCTCCAGAGGTCTGACGCTGTATGCGCACCAAAGAAGACACACTAGAAGCGAATAGGCCGAGAAGGAGATCGTTAAAGCGCCGACTGCAGCAGTAAAAGGACAACGCCGAATCCAGCACCACGAGGCGGGAAGTACAACCTAAACGTCGTACGCTGCGGGCGGACGCTGCAGAGATCTGACGTACTGCTGTCTGCCATCCAGGGCCCCCCAAAGTCCAGAACGTTGCCCCAGGCCAGCTCTTTATCCCGAGTCGCTTCTGTTGACGACCCCAGGGCCCGGCGAGAGCCCCAACAGGCCGAAACCCGTGAACAACAAAAACCGCCATGCTGATTTTGTTCCGTGCGCTGGAGGTCTGGCGGCCCCCAGGCCGACCTCGGGCAAAACCCGGGGGGGGCCCGAAGCACTGCGGGGCGACAGGCCGTGCGGTGACCTCGGACCCCCCCTGACACCTCACCGCGCGGCCCGCCACCGTACGGTTGTGGGCCTTCGGAGGCCCCAGCCACCCGAGGCGTTCCCTGGAGAGCAACCCCTCCGAGAGCCCAGACGCCCTAACACCCATAATCCCAGCCAGAAAACAATCCGAAAATGTGGTCACTGCACAGGTGTTGGCCCCCGTGGGCAAATAAACACCGTCTTCAGCAGGAACAGACCGTCCCGGCATTCCGATAAGCCTACCACGACATGTCGACATGACCCTAGAACCCAGACGTGTTCTAATAGCAGAAACAATGTTCTTAAAACATTAACCCCTGTGTCAAAACAAGACAGTCTCAACTAGACATGTTCTAAGAACATTCCGTGCAGACCACAAAAGGTTCTCAGAACAATATTTTGGGGGACCTATAGGCGAGCCAGGACGCTTCGCCACTGCTTGAAAAAACACCATCTCCAGTCTGCCCTCCCTGCTCCAGGAGCTCTCCTGCACGGCCGTGGCCAGCACCGCCGCGAGGGCCAGGCGCAGCAGAGACACCATCGCCTGCGCGTCGCAGCGCCGCGCGCGCAGGCCCTGGGCGGCCTGACGGCTTCGATCGCTGCGCCTCTTTCTCCCGCCACGTCGGTTTGGAGCCCCTGCAGGCCCCGCCCCAACGCGGTACGGACTATATAGTGTTTTCGAGGGTGGGTGCGAAATCCTCTTCGACCGTGGTTTATTATCTAGGAATGGTAAACCTATGTCATTACGTTCAGATGGTACCCCCATTGGATTATTGGCATGTGGACGGATCGGGGACCCCCCCTCCCCGGATCATCTCCATTCTGGAATACTGCATCCGGGGTCGACATTCCGACATAATGAACCAGGGTTGATCCCGGTCAAATCTCCTTCTCAGGCGCCCACCCTCCTCCACTGGATCGCTATCATGCAGGAATAATAAACCAAAGTTAAACATTCCCAGAACATTACGAACCTCAGTTTATGATGTTCTAGAGATAACGGGCTACGGTCAATTTTCTAATATAGAGAACCCCAATTTGGAAGTGCGGGGTTGGGGGAACATAAGAATGATACTCATTCCGGAATCATGAATCCGGATCCACAATATCCGCCTATGGCTCAGGCGACGCCCCGCAGCCTCCACTCGTATCATTCCAGAATAATAATTCAGGGTTCGTTATTCGCGAGACATTATTAGCCCCGACGAATGTTCCCAGAACGTTACGAACCCAAATTAATATCTTTGTGGGGTCGATGTGCCCAAGAAATTATAAACCAACATTTATCATGTTCTGTAGGGAACATTGTGATACCCAACCAATATGTCCCGGAACATGAAATAACAGGTTCATAATGAACGCAGTTGAAGGGGCCCTGGGACACACAAAAATAAGTAGACACAACTAATTAGCGAGATTCTCCATCTGTTCCTAAATTTTCTGAGTTTCTGTCCCCCCCCCCCTTCCCAGATTTTCCTATAATTTTTAAGGAATCGACGGTTACTTGTGTCTGTGTGGTTTTCCCCCTCCTGACCAGAATGGGGCACCCACGTCGTCCGCGTGGAAGGGGGTCGCGGCCTGCGGAGGCCTCCGCGGAGGTCCCCGCGAGAAACCTTCCTGCAGAAGCCTCCCCCCCCGAGGTCCTACCAGCAAGCCTCGGCGGGGCCACCCAGAGGCTTGTAGGAAAAGGCCTCGGAACACCAAAAGCGCCGCCTGGCTCTTCTGGGACGCACAGAGACATACCACTACTACTACTACTACTACTACTACTACTACTACTACCACTACTACTACTACTACTACTACTACTACTACTACTACTACTACTACTACTACTACTACTACTACTACGATTACGACTACGACTACGACTACGACTACGACTA